TGTACTTCCATTAGGCAACCTTTTTTTGCAACCATCATTGTGGATAGAAGGGTTTAAACGTTATCAGCATTGTCCTGTAAGGAGCCCCATTTGATTTTAAACAAAGACAAGGTTTGAAACCGAGGACCTCCTTTTTGTCCAACATGGTCTCTTTTTTTTTTTTTACCTTAATAAGGATACTGTTACCTTAATTCTGTGCAGCTGCCGTTCACTCCAAGGAGATCTCTCTCTACATTGTTTGGATGTGGTGAAGGCTGTTAGGTTTTACTTTAGGAAAACTAATTTCTTTTGTTGGTAATTTCAGGATGTCCTAAAAGAAAGTCTTCAGTTTTTAGGTCCACTATTTCTACGTGGATTAGACGGGTTGTTGGTCGGGTTTATAAATTGCATGCTACAGTGCCTCCTTTTCCTAAGAAAGCCCACTACTTCACACTGGGTACCTCTTGAGTTTTTTTTGTCATCAGATGCCTACGACTTAGATGTTTAAAGCTGTATAAGGGATAGACACAGACACATCAAAATACGTTTAATAGACTATTATGATTTATTGAGCATGGGCAGCTGTTTTTAAAGATGGTGGATGAGCCCTTGGCTACATAATACAACAGAAGGGAGTTCACAATTACATATACAATAGAGGGGGGAGTCCACAGTTACATATACAAAAGAGTGGGGAGTCTACAGTCTTATAACACGTAGAAGTAAAGGCAGTTAAGCATTGGGATGCTGTTTCTTTTACAACCACACACATTCCATTTTCCATTGTTGTTCCTGTTGGGCTGGTTCTCGTGTGTTGTTTTGGTGTGCCCACCCCTCTGTCTGGACTGCTTTTGGACATCCCTATGTTCTTAAAATTATCAAACTGTGTTCCTCAATGGACAGTAGAGAAAGTAGGATTTCTCTCATGGTAAAATCCTTTTATCAGAGTCTATCAAGGGACACAGCTCCCTCCCCTCATATGCTATTTTTCAAACTACTTGGTAAGAGGGGTTATAGCCTCTAGGGGGTAGCCTTTAGTTTCTTTTGTCTAGTGTCCATTTATCCTGTAGGCGACAGTATAACCCTACATTGTTTAATAACATCATGCTGTGTCCCTTTATGGAGAAAAGGATCTTGCGTTGAGTACAAAAATCCTATTTTTCTTAGGTAATATGAAATACTGAATACAAACCATTTGTATTCTCATACCTAATTAAAAGGGTAGAAATGTAAGCTCCTTCACACAAGCTGCTTACAGAGCTTCATAGTTGAAGGTGAAATTGACACACAAGTGAACATGTCAGAGCAGTGGCTCTTCCCCTGATCCATTTAGAAAAGGCAATACAGAGTTTCAGTCAAGGAGAGAGAGAGAGTGTGTGAAGGCATCCACCTTCTGCTGTGCTCTTTCTTTAGAAAAAACATAATGCTATGTGAATCATGAATGCAACCCATATTAAATGCATATTTGTTGTGTATATAAAAAGTTGCAGTAAAAAAAAACAAACAACATGTTTAAAAATGTATAAACGTAACAAAAAACAACAACAACCGCATACCATTTTAATGCAATTATAGATATGCATGATGTCTTCTACTACTAAACCACTAAAGGGGTAAGAAGAGTATTTTTTAATAAAACAAGTTGTTGAAAAAAAAGAACATTTAAAAATGTATAAACTTAAACAAATAACTATACAGTATACTATTTTATTGCCATTAAAATACTGACACTATGTATGTGTGTGCAAAGATCAGAGCATGATAATCAATTAGTCATTTTCACTAGTTGAAGTGTGTCCATCCATTATTAGCCTAAGATGGTAAATTGAGACATCTGCTATTTGATATGCTTAGGTCTCTGCAGAGCAGGAGAAGAGATTGGAATGTATTAATGTTGAAGGCTAACAAAAAATGTAAGTTTCTGTTTTCATATAAATGTACATCAACTGCATATGCCTGTTTCATGTATACTCTGTGTTCATTGCTGGCATATGTTTTAAAAAGAAAATAGCTCTACCAAGGTGGAAATGGGCGTTTAAGAAGGATAGGGTTACCCGAAGGCATTGTTTTCAATTTATTCATGGCTATATATATCGCTGCTCTTTAACCACTTCAAGACCAGGTGTTTAGACCCCCTCCCCGGCCAGTCCCCCCCCCATCATAGGTACAGGATACTGAATACCCAACTGATGAGCGTTACTACCTACACCACATGCTGTAGCTGCTAGCGTGGTATCCCCTTGCCCTGTGCACATGCCCCATGTCGGGATGTACTGGGTAGAAGTACCACAGACGGCCCTGGGCCTAAACCAACATACGGTATGCCTTTTATACATTGTGCTACAAGTGCCATCACTGGTCTTGCCGAACCATAACCGCTCAGATACTGTTGACTATTCTGCTGCTAATGTTCACTGGCCTATTGGCCTATAGTCTATTGCCTTACACATGTACTTTCTGTATTTTGTCAAAACCCCATGTTTATGTTTATTTTTGTTAAGGTGAACTTGTTACTTTGCCTTTTTGTACTAAACTCTTAAACTTGAATAAACTCAGATTGAACTAAA